AGAGAAAGGGAAAGAAAGTGACTTGACTGCTTGCTCATGCACTATATACTTAAAGCCTTTAAGAAAACTCAGTTAGGAAAGGTCAACAGAGAAACATGGATCAATTGTGATTGATCTATGTGATATATCAATAGGCCAAAGGTACTGCCAACAGTAGCTAACCAGGGGCTGGAGCAGTAATGCATTTGTCTTGCACACAGCCAAGCCGGGATCAATCCCCATCATCCAATGTGGTACCCCAAGAAAGTCCTGAGTGCAGAGCCAGGCATAACCCCTGAGCATTGTCAGGTGTGGGCTTCCTTCCCCCCCCAAAACAAAAAAACAGTAGCTAACCCTTACTGAGTACTGAGTATATTCCAAGCATTTATGAAGTAGAGCTTAGTGTTTGCTATTTTCACTTCTAGTCATTATACCTTGGCTTGTGACATCTGGCTGGTAGAATCTCTGATCCTAAACGGTTTGTTTCACATAAAGCCCCATGGCAACATTACAACTATGGGAAAAATCAAGCCATATCATGATTCTCTTCTTGATGGACTGTCACCCAGGAACACATGGCCGCCAAAGCTGTAGGGGAGAGAGAAGATCATTTACACAGTCTCCGAAGCTCAACCTGCAGGGAAGGAGGCTGGCAGAGTGGCGGTGTTGGCACAGGCTAATTAAAGGCAGGCTGACGATGGAGCGGCCTTTCCAAGTGCAGTGGCAAGTGACTACACATCTTTCCCCTCCCACCTGCCCCCTCCCTCGCTCCACTTTACCTCAGTTGCACTCACCTGGCAGCCCCAAGGCTGTCACTAGTCACAGCTGCACAGGTGCAACAACAATGGGCAGTCACCCTCTGTTCTAAGGCTGAGCCATCACCATCACCCACAGCCTCCAGCATGCCTGGTTGCAGGGGAGGCTCACCAGCTGCACATGCCCACAAAGAGGCCTATAGACTGGAGTGGGCATTGGGGGGCCTGAGTGGTTGGCAGTCAAATAAAGACATTGAGGGGTCTATCCATTCAATGGAGCTGACATCAAACGAGTGGTCATTAGATAGCCAATGCCTAAAACAGTATCTGATACATGGCAGATATTCAACAAAGAGTTGGGTAAACATATTCATTGCCAGGATATATATGGGGAGGTCATAAGTTCTCCCTGCCAGGGATGCTGGGGGAGGAGGCAGATTAATGCCCCAGGGTTATTTGATACTAGGCAGCCTAAGAAAGGAGCTAGACTGTCATTTATGAAGACGAGATCCAAGTTTTAAAAAGGTCGAGACTGCAAATGCTTCTCACTGGGAAAGTCTAGATTGGCATCTTGAAAAGGTGAAATCTGAGCTGAGCTGAGGTAAAAGCAAGTAGAGAGACCCAGGCAGAGATGAGTAAAGGCCTAGAGGGAAGAGCAAGATGAAGAAAGTCAAGGTAATTAGATGGGTGGGGCCCAGGCTGGAAGTGGGTGGGGTCAAATCATCAAGGCCTTTGCCTGCCAGTCCTGGGGTTCCCGGGCTTCTCTCTCTACCCCAGTCAAGGCCAACACCCAAAGTCGCCACTCCCTCTGTGGTAAGATGGCAGCTGACTGTCCAGGACTTTCTGGTGCCCTACCACCCTGTATCTGCTGGAGGTGTGGGTGGGAGGAGGCGCACACAGCTAGCCCTGGCTCCTTCCCTCCTCTTCTGCCAGCTCTGGGGGTGGCAGCCATGGCAGCCAGGACAGGGATGGGGCAGGTGCAGGGCTTCCCTCTGCCTATGCCTGTGGAGGCCTGTGGGCTCTCGGAAAGCTGCCTCCAGGAACAAGTCTCTCTTTCAAAGAAGCCCTCATGGCCAAGCGTGGAAAACAGGCCACTCTGTGCCCACTAATTACTCATTTCAGAAGAAACCAGAAGCCGGATTGATTGGCAAAGCCACGGCAGGCATGAGCAGTCTGTGACCAACTGCAGCCAGCCTCCTGCTGCCGCTCATTCTGTGTTCCAGAAACTGCCTTCTGTCCCCTTTTATGTTGTAGAGCAACTTCCTGGTGGGCAATTAGAAGTTAAAGATGATGTTAGGGAAAAGTGGGAAAATATGCCTGAGAAAAGAAGTGTGGGTTTAATAAAATAAATGATTTTTAATATGTTTTCTATGTGTAAATATAACCAAACCATAGTACTCCAAATAGGATTTTACAAGGCAGAAAAAAAGCTATTTACATCTTACTTCCAATACCCTAATATAGTTGTTATTAGAATTTCAGGTGCCAAAGAATCGCCAGGAGTGATCCCTGAGCACAAAATCAAGAGTAAGTTCTGAGTACCACCAGGTGTGACCCAAACACCCCGCTACACACACACACACACACACACACACACACACACACACACAATCTATTATCTTTTAGTCCTCTACCATGATGATATAAAATTAAGTGAGATTGTAATTACACAATACATTCTTCTCTTGCAATTTTCTCTGTTTCACTAGTATCTTCTACGGATTAGAAAGGATGGACTAGATTTAGCCCACCTTGCTCCCTGGCTACCATAAGCAAGCTTTGAACCTCACACAATGCTTCAGTTGAACTTATGTGATAGAAAATTGATTAACCAACTTCACAGGTATAATTTGAGGAACTACTGAAAGAAAGCAGAAAAAAAAATTTTTTATAAATACCTTAAGGGACAGGTAGATAAAACAATGTCCTCCCCCAAATATGTGTATCACTTCTGACTAGGTTAGGTTAAATGGTAAAAGGAAACTAAACATGCAGATGGAATTGAGGTCTCTAACCACATGGCCTTCAAAGAGAGAGATTATCCTGGATTTCCTAGGCAGAACCAGTAGACTCAAATTGTTCCCTAAAAATGGAAGGAGGAACCCAAAAGAGAATCAAGCAGATGGCCACTTCAGAAGGACTCAGGACAACACTGACTTTGAAAATGGAGAAAATATGTCACAAATCAAGGAACACGGATGACCTATAGAAACTGAGGGGGGAAGGGACAACAACAGCAAAAAGAAATTCTTCCCTGAAGTCTCCAGAAAACCTATAGCCTTGTCAATCCTTTGATTTTTACCTTTGTGAGACCCTATTCCAACATCTGACCTGCAGAATTTGTGTTATTTAAAGAAACCTAGCAATTCTTGTGCCACTGAGCCAACTGCTTAGTGACGCTCCAGAACAACATTGTTGTTTCAGAAATATTTATAAGAAATAATGTGGCGCTCTTGTCCAGATCAAACAAGTCATGTATATGTATACAAGAGCCAAAGCATCTCAGGGAAAACTTGTTTTTTCTGCATGTTGAAAGAAATCATTGAGGCAAAGATTGTATAGAGAGAAAATGAAGTCCCAATTCACCTGGAAAAGATCATGTTCCAGGACCTTACAAGGGCCTGAACATAGAAGCAAATATTTATTGCATAATCACAAGGGGGGAAGCGGGGAATGTGTGAAGGAAATTAAGCCATTTTGTTTCCACTGCACTCCCTACAATTCTTTCTTTCTTAACTTTTGAAAACCTCAGTCCCCTTTTTGCCCAATAAGAAGAATCTTCTGCCCAATAAGTTGTCCAGAATTGATGTTCTGTTTTATTTAATTTATGAAGTACATGAATAAATGAATGAATGAATGAATGAATGAGTCAATATCCTGGAAGTTTGGCTCTCTAGCAGAGGAATTCCTTCTTCTAATGGACTTTGGTCTTCCAGCATTCTCTTTAGCTGAGAAGCATTCGGTGGTCTTAAATCCTCAGCTCTGACCTGAGCTGCCCCGCCCTGAAGGTATCCAAATGAGAGCATTCCGCAGCTCTGCCCATCTGTGAAACCCAGCAAGGACCCTATGACCTTACTCTCCCTAAGTTTCTCTTTTTCCTTTTCATTTTTTTATCCATAAAACTTTCTCAGTAGATTCTGGCAACAAATGGTAAGGAAGACTAGGCCAGAAACTTACTGATCTAATGTGAAACTATGAGTAAACTGCTAGGTGAGGGAAAGCATTGACTGGAAAGTGGCATAAAGGAACTTTCCAGACTGATGAAAACTTCTATACTTTGTTTTATGTCATTATTACAATGTTGGTTGTCTTTGTCAGTTGTCAAAATGTTACAATTTGGGGTGGTCACAAAATTATCAAAAATTACTAATCTGAACACTTAAACTCTGGTCATATACATATTAAAATATGCCATGATATTCCAAAAAAATTTAAGAAAAAGATTCTGAGATCACAATGAATTCATTGTCTGAGAATAGCTTGACTTATTGGTGATGCCTGCCATCAGCAAGCAGGCAGGAGAGGTGCCCATACAAGCACCATCTGTTTGCTACCCTTGTTCTTCCCTAGTCATCCTTGGAGAGCTCCTGCATCACTTAAGTGGTTATAATATAAACTTGTCCACTCCAAAGGATTATAATGAGGTGAAAGTTCTTGGTATAATAGAAATCCCTGGCCAAGTGCAAGTTATTATTGTTCACATTAATTTTCCATGAGGCCTTGCGCAATGAGACTGACATTGGCAGGCAGGTTCCCAGAGAATTCTCCCTGGATGCAATGAAATGCCACAGAGCCAGATATTATCAAAATTCCAGGCTCCCCATCAGCATGAACGTCGTGTGTCTATCCCATTATTCACAGAGAAACACTTTTGGTCAATACTGATTTGCTTAGCTGGCTTCCCCATTACTATTTCCCCCTCCCCCTACTTTTCAAAAAGTACTACAATGCTTTCCACAGGCCAAACTAAGTAATGTGTTTTCTTTTGAGGTTCTTTATCCTTTTCTGATGCTCTATCTCAAGATGGAGGTCTGGTATTTCTCATATCTCTTTATCCTCCCAGCTGAAAAGCTGGAGAGGCTTTTCAGAGCTTTGCTCTGTGTGCTCTTGGTTTATGTCTGTGAACTGAGGCATCTGTTGGTAGTGCCTTCTCTCACGTTCTGGGAGCCTTCCGGGTTACTGCTGAGTATTGTGCTAACTAGCCCGTGTCTCACCGGGAGACTCGGGGCTTAGCAGACACATATTTTCCTACTGGTGTCCCAACAGAGGGAGCAGGACAGAGGCTGGCAACCCTATCTCCACTTCCGAAGGCAACCAGAGAGCCAGGCCCAGCGGCACATCCAACCTGGGTATTCAGCCAAGAGATACCTGCGAGGCCTCTTGCGGACATGGCCCCCTGGCACTATGTACAGGCTCCATTGCGCAGGTCAGTGTGGGAACGGGAGGAGGAACCCTTCCATAAATTCTGGTGTAAGCAGGGGCTTTCCATGGAGGCCTGAGCAGGATGGTTTCAAGTACAATTTTGTGTTAAGGCAAAGTTGGTTCCACTTGGTTGCCCACATGTGCCACAAGCTTTACCCTTTAATCTCCCGCACACCCACAGAAGGAAGTTCAGCTGGAGTCTGGCCTTCACTATTTCTCTTCTCACCAGGCTCACACTCACATCCCAAGCCAGAACCTTCTTCCCAAGAGCCTTCAGAGCCTCCACTTCAATGCTCCCCTTTACAAGATAAGGCAAGGATGGGGGTGGCAAGGAATATCGGAGACCAGGAGTCAGATCTTCCCCACACTCCCTGTCCCATTCGCTCTAACATTTGCCCACCTGAGGTGGGCAAATCTCCAGTCCTCCCGTCCTCCCATTGTTCATCGATTTGCTCAAGTGGGCCCAGTAACGTCTCCATTTTGAGACTTGTTACTATGTTTGGCACATCGAATACGTCATGGGTAGCTTGCCAGGCTTTGCCTTACGGGCAAGATACTCTCAGTAGCTTGCCGGGCTCTCCAAGAGGGGTGGAGGAATTGAACCCGGCTCGGCAGCACTGACTGTGCGCAAGGCAAACGCACTACCGCTGTGCTATTGCTCCAACCCCCAAGAAGTGAAAATGTTAGGTTCTCCCAACAATCCACTTAGGAGTTAGACAGACACCCTTCTACGAAAAAGTCACCCCATGTGCATTCTATAAAGGCTTAAACACGAAAACAGGAAATGGTTGAGGATTAGAGTGCCAGAGTTAATGCACGCATACACAAGCACACACAGAGAAGTTCAATTCGCAATCCTTGGGACATTTTCCTACTAAAAAGTGTTAATTGTCTATCTGGAATTTAGTTTGAGCTGGAACCCTGTATTTTATTTGGCAAGCCCATTGGGGATGAGGTGGTGAGCCAGAGGGTTTGCCAGTGCCCACTGGGCTGTTTGCCATCTCTTCAGCACCAACAAACACACAGAGGAAGACTGGTTTTCTCCTCGCTTTAGAGGATGTCTTTGGGGAAGGAGAGAAAACACCCCTCTCCATAGTAAATGATGACTTGAGAATGGAAGGCCGGTCTAGAAGTGGGTTTAACTTTCTTAGCCAGCAGACCATGACTAGCAGTTCCGTTTATAAAGAGCCCCTTGGCTAAAGATATACCATTAGGTGGGACAAAAGACAGAACAAACCATTGTCCCCTTGGCCCAATATCTTCAAGGATGAAAGCCTCTCTTAACAACAAATGTGCCTCAGACCCCTGGAAATCATATGACGATAGTGTGTGATTTAAGAAAAGGGAGGTGCATTCGTGGGCTCCTTGCATAGTTCATCACTAAAGCCCCTCTCTTTCAGGGGGCACTTCCTATAGTGCTTGGGTCTGGGTGACACTTGGGGGTCCATACAGGGCTAGGGATTGAGCCCAGGTCCTCATACACACACGGTATACACTCGACCACTTGAGCTTTATCACTGGACCCCCAAAGGCCCTCTTGAGTGTGAGATGCTCAGGCTGGGAAGAGAGTGTTATCTATCTGGAATTCAATTTCAATTGGAATCCTGTATTTTATTTGGTCTGTTGGGGATGAGATGGTGAGCCAGAAGAACAACGGCAAAACAATGATACGAGTTCACTGGCTAAGTGTGTCTCCACTCCAGGCCCTCACATCCAGGAGTTCACCCATTTTGTGATGCTGGTATTTTCTCTGGTCCCACCTTTCTACCCCTGTGATAAATCTTCCCATATTTCAGGCCTGCTGTCTTCGACATAGGTTTCTCTACAACTCCATCGAACCTTGAGTTCATTGTTTTGAATTTAAATTGCACTGACAGCTGGGACCATACAGCTGAGCACAGGAGAACTCTGTTTCTCACCAGACTCTGCTTTTTAAAAAGGCTCGGGGACTGGGGAGATGGCTGGAAGGATGGAGTTGCATGCTTTGCATGCAAGAGCCCTGCATTCAGTCCCCAGTGCTGCGTGGTTCCAGCACCAGAAAAAAAAAATGCTAATTAAGATGAAAGGGCCAGGGCTGGAGTGATAGTACAGAGGGTAGTGCCTTTGCCTTGCATGAGGCCAACTGGGTTCGATTCCCAGCATCCCATATGGTCCTCTGAGCACTGCCAGGAGTAATTCCTGAGTGGAAAGCCAGCAGTAACCCCACCTGCCCCCAAAAAGATGAAAAGGGCCCAGGTCTGTTTTATCTGTATCTGCTCTACTGCCAGAGTGCATCACCACTCCCCACCCCCCTCCCCCACACCCTCTGTAAATATCTGCAGAAAGCTTGGATGGAGTATCTTGGGGTTTAAGAAACAGATAGGATACAAATCAGAAGCTTTTTAGTTTCTCCTAAAGCAGAAGAAGCCTTTTCCCTACCCCCAAAGTGGCAGCCATGTTCCTTCTCCAGAGAGAACCAGTTTTTACAAAAGGAGAAGGGGAAGAAGTGCTCTTTCAAGGTGCAGACTCCAAAGTGCCTAAGACACTGTGGAGAACCATTAAGGGTTCTATGTGATTTTTTTAGTCCCTCTCAGTTTCTCACTCTACTTCTTAATGAGTAACATCCAAAGTCGAGACCCATGCAGATAAAGAATTTGATAGTCACCTGCAAGAACTGTAGACTGGTGACCATTTTTTTCTACCAGTAACTCCCAACCTACTCTTTAGGATACATCAAGGATTCTGTGATACTCCAGGACAGTCAACTTAATGTACCAAAGAATTTCAGGCCACAGCAGGATCTTTCAGGTGTGCCCCCAAAATACCACCTCCTGCCTGTCTTCCCTTCATTTTGGACTCAACAAGGAAAATCCTTTGAACAAGGTACATGTTCACTTTCTGAGCAGTTCTCAAAATACTGGGACATTTTAAATACCTTGAAATGTAATTTCTCAGAATAAAGTCTAGGGATTCTGAGTTTCATGTTCAAATCTGTAAATTCAAGGGGTTAAGTCTAAATTAGCTCTGTTCAAATCATATTTTCTGCTATGATAAAATGTTGCATTTTATTCAATATCACAACCTTAGTCTGATGTAACTGTTGAGTATTTGACACTTAGGTAGTGCAACTGTTAAACTAAGTTTAATATTTAATTTTAATTAATTTACATCTAAATAGTCATATGTGGCAAGTGACTACTGTTTTAAAGATAAAGATCTAGACACTAAATTTTGAATCATTTTCTAGTTCTGTTCCATTCTAATATCTTTTTATCCTGTGGCTTTGTTGTGATACCCTGTAAAAATATAGGAAATTTGGAGTCTGAAATATGGGTTTTAATGGTTATAATCTCTCTTATCTCAGTGCAAAATCTTGAGCAACTCACTTAACCTCTTTGTTTGCTCATCTCTACAATTATGATGACAGAACATTATTGTGAGCTGATCAATACAACAGGGATTTCACTTGTCACTATCATTCTTGGAAAATTGAAGAACTAAAAGATCCTGAAGTTACCTTTGCTAAGGGAGATAGATTAAAAGATGATTGGATAGGACTAATGAGTGGAAAACAAGCCCTTTGTTTGTATCTTGAATTTTTGAGAAAAGAGCAGGAAAGAACAAAAATCTTAATATATTATAAAATTAATTTTTGAAGTGCAAAAAAGAAGTTTCCAGTAATAATGAGAGTGTCTAGCTAAATCTGGATCTTAGAAAAGTATCTGATCAGAATAGAGAATCTTGTCCATCAAAAAAGTAGATAAGAACTTGGCAGTTTACAGGACTGATATCATCAAATATTCCTACCACATGCCTCCCTTTTGTCTTCACTTGGGCACAAGACTAACCTGGTAAATATGTAGTTTGTTGATAGAAAGTGTGCTGACCAGACAATTGTATTTTCTTTGTAAATTAAAACTCTGAATACATTAAAATTAGTGCATCAGTCTCTTTGCACTTTGCTCATATGAGTCAACATCCATGAGCCCAGTTGATTCTGAGATGAAATACAGAATAATAATTAGACATGTGAACATTAGTACCAGATTTCAAACTATGTGACCTTTCTGGACTTCAGTTTCCTCATTTATAAACTGGACATGACTGTCTGGATATATAGTACAGTGGGTGAGCACTTGTCTTGCATGCAGCTGACCCAGTTTGATACCCAGCACCCTAGATGTTTCCCTAAGCACCACCAGCAATAATTTCTGAATGCTGAACTAAGAATAACCCTAAGCATCACTGGGTGTGGTCCCATGTTCAAAAATAAATAATAGATAACTGGAGATGACCATACCCACCTTCTGGCACATAGCAACTGTTCAATAAATATTTGTTAACAGGATGTCTAGCTTGTTTTTTAAAAATCATAATCCTGAAAAATGGTTACGTTACTTTTAACTTTATCTCACCTTGGCCTCTCTCCCTTTGCCAGATACTTTGTAGAAATAACAAAAATCCTAGCTGCAATTCCCATACCCATCAATGTGAGTTTAGCCAAGTCATCTACACTTCCTGAATCCTTATTTTGCTCTCTCTGCAAATGAGGATAATCAAAATGAGATACTGCATTTCTTCTCCTGTGTAGTATGTTAGAAAATCACAGGGGAGAAGTTCAAAAGTACTCTTTAAAAGAGCTTTATTAGAGGGTCAGAGTGATAGTGCAGTGGGTAACCTTGCATGCAGCCAACCTGGGTTCAATCCCCAGAATCCCAGCATCCCAGCCAGGATTGATCCCTGAGCACAGATCCAGAAGTAAGCCCTAAGCACCACCAGGCATTACCCAAAAAAACAAACCCCTCCCTCCAAAAAAGAGCTTGATTTTGTCACCTCAGTACATCTTATCTGGGTGATCTGAATCCATCAAGAGGGATACCAAGTTTTGTGGTCTTTAAACAGCTTAAACATACAGAACCTTATATGCAAACCTGTTTATATTAAGCATAAAAAAATGAGCCCGAGGTGATGTTTGCAGAGAAAAATCTCCATTTCCCCACAATATTGAGTCATATGTTTAATATTACCTGGGTTGCAGCTGAGGGAAGAACGTCTTTCCATGTCCCCACACCCACATGCCCCTGACCCCAGTTTAGGCAGTCTTCCACATAAGACTGTTCTGCAGGAGAACAACCATTGACAGAGCTTCATTTCCTCTACCCTAAGAAATGCACTTGGTTCTATATGAATCCAACCAGGCAGGGTAAATCTATCTTAACCTGGTGTGAATCCAAAAGATCATTTGTGAATACTTAAGAAAGATTTTAGTGCTGCACCCACTGTAGAGTTAAAATCTTTTTGTAGGAAGGCCTCACTGGCTCTAGGTCTCCTCAGATTAAGGGGTTTTCCTCAGTCTTCCCTGAGCCTCCACAACCTGTGCAGACTCCAATGACCCTGAGCCCAAGTCTGAATATATCTCTCCAACTCTCTGTGAATTAAGAGCAGCCTTCGGGAGCTGGTGAGCAGAGAAAAGGGCCAGTTTGAGGAGGGTGATATGTCTATCTGTGAGTGGACACTTGGCATCCAACCCATAAAAACAAGTGTGGAGCATTCTGCCTGGAGGCAAGGGTTGGAACAGAGAGGACTGCAGAGCGGGGGGAATAGCTTGCAGGAGCCCAGAGCTCCATCATACCCAGGGCCCCTGCAGACTTCCAGAGCCCCTGGTTGAAAGACAAGCCCACACTGTTCCACGGAGCTGCATGTTGAGAATGGAGGTGTTGCTAACGCCAGGAAGATTTGCCAGACTGTCAGCAATAAATCTACCTGGAGTAGGTGATGAAAACACTGCAGGACCCTTTAAACTATCGATGAAAGATTGTTAACTTGGCTAGAGTCATCTGTTGACTCAGAGGCTTCCTGGGGTTTGCACAGACACGGTGAGTTCAGGGGGGGCACCCAGCAGTCCGAGTGAACGCATCCATCCGCAGAGGGTTTCCCACGAGTTAGCAGTCAACAGACAGCTCAGGAGACCCACTTGCTTCAGATAGAGTATTCCCGGGTGCTTGAAGCAGGTTCCAGGCCTCTCCCACACCCACCACCACCTCACCACTGGATCCCCTACCCTCACCATTTGCAAGGGCTACCTAACTCTTTACGTCATGTGAACTCCAGACAACTCTGCAAGGAAATGGTGGCCCCCGTTTTGCAGGTGAGGATATGGAGACCAAAGAAGGCATCTCCGTCCTTGCTCTCCTGATTCCCAGTGCCACACCATCCTCCACCCTGACTGTCCAGCAGAAAAACAGAGGCAGAGGAGGACCAAAGGCCTTCGTCAAAACTTTTGCTTAGAAAATCAAGAAGGCAGGGGTGGGACTGGGTGGTTCAGCAGCAGCTGACAGCATCTTACCTGTCTCCGGGCTTCCTGGGCTGAACCACTGTTCACCTTTACAGGTCAGCAGGGCAAGGATGAAGGGGAAGCTGGGGCTGCTGGACATGTCGACCAGGTCTTTGTCCCTCAGAGCCACTACAGTCAGGGGACTCGCTTGCCACCCCTCGGGAAGCAGTCCTGGCAGGAAGATGAAGCCCAGGCAGAGGTACCATTTCTCATGGGCTTTCCTTTGCCATTCTTCTTGACTTCAGAGGGAATGCTCCCTCTCTATACCATTTATTGGAGTTCTCCAGAGAAGAGTCCTTTGAGTGTTATGACCACTGCTTCTCATCACTTCTGCAATCCTAGCCTTGCCAGATGCTTTGCAAAGAAAAGTGTTCCATGACCAGTTCATTTGGGAATGCACACATTTAGACAGGCACCATGTTGAGTTGCAGTGGTAAAATAGTAATCATTTAAAAAAAAAAAACATAAAACTGTTCATGATTGATTTTCAGTCATACATGTTCAACACCCATACCTTCACCAGTGCACTTTCCAGCCACCAAAGTTCCTAGCCCACCTTTCTTTCCACTCACCTGCCCCCAAGCCCCACAGCCTGCCTCTATGGCAGACACTTTTTTTCTCTCTCTTATTCTCCCTTCTTACTTTGTTTTCTCTCTTTTCTTCTCTCCTTATTTTCCTTTTAGGCACTGTGGTCTGTAATATTGTTACTAAAAGGGTATCATGCATGTCACTTTACCTCCTTTAGGCACTCAGTTTTTGTCCAGAGTAATCACTCCCAACTATCATCATCATAGTCCTAACTGCACTCCTCCTCCCCCATTTATGGCAAGTTTTCTATCATGGACCAGTCCTCTAAGTCCTTGTTTAATATTAGCCAATTTAACTTTAACTCACAGTTCTTCACTCATTTAACCACAGAACCTCACCTCAGTCTTGACCCCTTCTAGGTCTCTCTTGTCTTCCTGAGAAAAAAGAGCTCTTGGAATAATAACATTGAAAGACATCAGCTGGGGCTGGAGACATAGTACAGAGGTTGAGGACTTTGCATTGCAGGCAGCCAACCCTACTTCAATTTTGGCACTGTAAATGGTTGCCTGAGCATTGCCAAGAGGGATCCTGAGCACATTAGGCAGGAGTAAGCCCAGAAAACCTTCAAGTATAGTCAAGCCACCCCCCTCCAAAATTAAAGGCCTCTGAGAGTTGTGCATCCTACTAAGTGTGCACGTCTGTTTAAGACTTTTAACTCACTTTGAACCTGAATTCTCTCTTCTGTATAATGGTGCTGTTATCTTACATCTCTTGTTTAAATGAGATTTAAACAAGTTAAAGGGTAAAATACATTCTTAGATGTGTTAGCAGGGGGTACAGACACACACACACACACACACACACACACACACACGACAGTGGTTCAGAGCAACAGAGACAATATAAGCTCCTAACCTGACTGAGTAAACTCTTTGAAGTAGGTCAGACACCAGTGAGAACTACAAGGAGGAAATGAGGAAAGGACTACATTGGGAGGGAAGAGATGGGAACATTTGATGATGTATAAAAATGGCACTTATGCTGCAGTCTGATTTTTACATATTTTTGCAAGAAAAAATCTGTCAATCATGGCTAAACGTCATTTTATCACCCATAATCACATGTTTTATCATATGTGTTCCCCATCTTGTTATACTAACCATGGTTTTCTTCTCAGGCTGTGAAGAGTCCCCCCCTGCCCCCCACCCTTGGGAACTACTAGCCACATGAAGTTTGACTGGTAAAGGAAGTTGCTGTGTTCCCTTCCAAAAGCCTGTTTACAGGGGTATGTAACTGTCATTCCCTAGGACACGCCCACAGCGACTCACCGTCATACACACACTTCAGAGGAAAGCTACAAAAAGAAAGCACAGCCAACTTGCAGCAGAGCCTTTGGACATGCCCTCGTGGATCCCTCTTGGCTCCTGACTGACAAATCCCAAGTCACGTTCTATGGAGGAGCCTTCCCAAGACGGAAGGCAGATGTCAGCGGTAAGAAGCCCTATGCCTTGCTTGGCAATCTGGATAAACCCAGCCCTCTGGTGTTGGTAGGAGAACACAGAGACCTGCTGAGTAGCATTTCTTTGTGCCATTCACCTTAGAAATAACAGCCCCGGGGAAGCCAGAGCAGCAGTACAGTGGGCTGGGTACTTGCCTGCACACAGCTGACATGAGTTTGAGGCTCAGCACCACGTATAGTCTCTCAATCCTACCACGACTGATCCCTGAGCTCAGAGGTAGGGTTAAACCCTAAGCAATGTCAGGTGTGGCTCTAAAACCAAGTACCAGTCTTCCAAGAAAATAAATAACAGTCCATGTCCAGCAGGAGATGTGAAGGATAAGGGAAGGCCCCTCCCTCCCCAACTGCACACATTCTGTAGTCACTCCCCCTGTTCTCCTGACCCCCACTTGCTAGCTGTGATCTTGGACAAGTTACAGAAAACATCTTGACAGCAGCACTGCAATCAGTTTGAGTTAATTAAACCCTGTTCAAGTCCCCAGTGGTACAAACTGGCATCAATGTGTTAATCCTGCCAGGTGTGGCTCCCTGTCCTTATCTGCAGAATGGTAATAATAATCATATTTCTGTCAGGCAATTGCAGGGATGTGGTTAATGCATATAAAATACTTTGCTCAATTTTTATCCATCCTTATCCGTTAATACACATTAACTATTATCATTTTAGCACCTGACTCAGACAGACTACACCAAGCCCAGAGAATGAGATACAGATTTGGCTCCCCAAAGCAGCCTCTCCTTCCCTTGCTTCCCATTAACGCTCAGTGACAGAAGTGGAGAGTCAGCTGTCCAGACCCTAGTCTCATTCACCTCCTGTTTCACAGGCCAGCAAGGGACTCGGCACCAACGCGAGGGCAGGATCAGCCCCTGCCCACGGGAGCCTCTGGCTGAGCGATGCCTTTTCCCTCCTGTAGCTCCTGCCATGAACAAAGCAGAAGAAGTAAAGAAGAAAAAGGTGTGTGTGTGTGTGTGTGTGTGTGTGTGTGTGTGTGTGGTGCAATCTTGAAAGATTAATTTCAAATGAGGGAGAGACATCTGAAACAGAGACCTGGCCTATCACATGCCGGAAAGGAAAAGGTCCTCAACCCTTTCAGTGGGGCTAATCATTAAATTGACATGAGGTGCTGGAGCGATAGTACAGCAGGTAGGGCATTTGCCTTGCATGCAACCATCCTGGTTTCAATCCCTGGCATCCCATATGGTCCCCTGGGTACTGCCAGGAGAAATTTCTGAGTGCAGAATCAAGAGTAACCTTTGACCTGACTGGGTATGACCCAAACCACCCCCCAAAAAAAGTTGAAATGAAAGATATTAACACGGGAAACAAAGAAACAAATCAAATTGTGTATTTATGGAGGCATCATAGATGTAGAATCTAACAGATGGCCAGAGCGGGCTGGCTTTTATGTCTTCAAGACAAAGAAACAATATAATTTTGAAGAGACAAACTTTCTGCTTGGGTACTAATTATAGAAGAAAGTCTTATTTCTGTGCCCCCGCCCCATCTACCACTCTCCAATCCTTCCCCCACTGCCCCCACCCTACCACACAGAACACCCAAATTCCCCTTTCTGGAATTTTGGTTTTGCCTCCTGGTGCAGCCAGTGTACTTTTCCTCCCAAATAAGTGGGATATTTATTTCCTGCTTTTTGGGGAGAACAAAGACGGTCAGAGTGTTCTTTCTTACCCTTTTGCTTCTCACAAAACTTTAATTCAAAATAATCGGTATAACAAAGCAACATGTTGGGGGCCGGTCCGCCTTGTGCCCCATCACTCATTTCTGAACACCCCTGTGGAGCTGGCAGTGGAGGAAAGCTGAAGTAATTTACTAAATGTTGAAAATGGTGCACACAGTGCAAGGAACTCATGCTGCCCTGAATTCTACCTTAAAGCATCTGCTATCACCACACTCGCTGTTCGCCACAGAGTACTTTGTTCTGTTAAAGGGTTGAGGGTTCTCTGTAAAACCTCAGACTTACAGATCTGAGCTTGGAACTAGGGAGCAATTGACCTAGTTCAAACTCACAACATGCTGAGATCTTGAACCCAGAGATAGGTTTTGCTTCATCAGGGGTCTGTTACTTTTGAAAATGGGGCTTCTAGTTTACAGGTTTAGTCACCCCTTTGGGTGTCCTGTGTACCTTCATCTGCAGAGATGACGTGTGCCATCTCTGGACCTGCTGTGCAACTCCAGGTGGGTCCTGATGGTTTACAGATACCTGTGCAAAGCTCAGGCTAATGGGGCTTCTGGAATCTGCCCCATGTGAACTAGAGGTCACTCATTTCTCTGAGCTGCAGTGACCTTGTCGCTCTGCACATATGACAGGGCCAACCTCAAAGGACTGATGGGACTAATGGAAGGATGGGAGATGATGCGTACCATGCAAGTGTCCTTTGACTGGGCACTGAGGCACTATCCTTCATTACAGGGCTGTATGTCATGTAAAAGGGACCTGGTGCCAATGAGAAAGGCCGTTTTGTCTGTTTGGGCTTTTTCTCAGATTTCCCTGTGTTTAAGCTAATCTGAACTTTCCTATATATACCAGAAGCACCTCTTCTTTCCCAGTTTCTTTGGCCCTGAGTGAGCAGTAGGCTGGAACTGCCGGCGACTCTGTGGTCCTAAGAGTTCACAGAGCAGGGTGGGGCAGGCATCCCATCTCCTAGTCTATGCATGTGATTGGGCACAGAAAGCAATTCCCACCTCCCCCCCCACCCCCCCCCACCCCCGTGTTAAAAGTCTACCACCTTTTTTTTTCCCATTGGAATAAAGACATTAAGGCTTGGCTTTCCAGCCATACCACATATAAGCCATTTGAGTTTTCACATAGATTTCTCAATGCAAACCTTGTCAAATAAAATGCACAAGGTCAGTATTCAGTAAGGGGCAGTTGGTGGGCAGCTGGCACCTGGGCCATGAAGGTCTCCAGGAACATAAAGCTCCTATGTGCTTGTGTTTGTTTGGCTAATCCTTTTCTTGATGTCTTAGAATGATGACGAGTCCTCTGCACATATTGGGTCTAATGTCCTCCTTCACTTAATTCTAAGTACGTTGGATTATTTGAATCTAAGTACATGTTTCAGATCCTTTCATTCTTTTTGAGCACTAGACAAAGTAAAAAAAAAAATGGTTTTATGTTTCCGCCTGTGAAATTGAACTCCCCTGATCTGCAGCACACATATACATTCCCCAGAGTCAAGTTCATATGTTAAAAGCTGCAAACTAAAAGGAGAAATTTTCAGCAACTTCTGAATAATTGGAAACAGGAGGCTTTAGTAGTACCTAAAGTACTACTGCTAGTGTCTCTCATCCTACATATATTTGGATATACATATGCACACTTATGTTCGAGGATTTGGGGACACACAAAAAACTGAACCAAAGATTTTGGTTCTGACACTGATTTTTTTTTTTAAATCTCTATTCATACTGCAGGAGAATGAAGATACCTAGATATTCTGCTAGTGTTAAGATTGGGGGTTAAGCCCTACTAAAAAAAGAATTTACTCTCAGAGAAGTATCATAGAAATAATTTTAACCCCAAACACAGCAATAACTATATGTGCTTAACTCATTCCATCTCCATCCGAATGGTAACCTTTTGAAACCGGAGACCTGGTCGCCCCAATCCCACAGCAGAAGTCACCGAGACTCAGAGAGGCTGATGAGGGTAGTAAATGCACTCTCCTGCTCGCTGTCCTTTCTGACTTAACTGGTTATAGAGACGATGGCCCCTCACCTTGCTTTTCCCCCATCACAACAGATGTTGAGATTTAGCCCTTTTCATCGATATTTCCATTTCTGGTAGATTCTATCATCATTTTCACTGCAAACATTTTCACCAGATAACTAGTTGGCTGAGGATATAGTCAGGCTCCCAAGAGGCTAAGCAAGGCCACTCTAGTGAGATCCTGGTTCCCTGCTGATTTACCTCTCAGTCTCCCTCACAAGTGAAGCTTTATCCCAGCAGCACCTCCTGCTGCTAGAGATGCGAAACACTATCATGTTTTTGTCCTCTGCAGGACAACAGGGTTGACATAGCTGCCATTTTGGCTTTTGTTTTGTTCTTACATTTTCTCCAGGCACCAAAGGGTCTGAAATTGCTTCCTATCACCAAGGAACCACCTGGAGTGCTGGCCCCACTGAGGAGTCAACGAAAAGTCAGTGAGCCCCCTGCAGAGCTCTTCATCTTCCCAGTGGAGATTCATTTTCACACTCAGAATCCCCTCAAAGGAAAGGCTCCAGGAGGAGGTAGGCTCCCGGTAGCTGAGTGCACAGGAGTACTCAAGCAGGTCCAGAAGGATGGCGTTCAGGACCCATAATGCAACCCTCTCCCAAATCAAGGCTGATCAGTCCAGGGTCTCCCCCTACAAATAATTTTCTTAAGGAAGAAAGGATAAAATCTTGAAGTAGATCTCTCCTGGTCACATTCAACTCAGTCATGGGGAAGGAGTGGGGAATTGGACCAGACCTGATAGTGCTCAGGGGCTGTTGTTGACTCTGGGCTCAGGGCATCTGGGAGTGTTGGGGAACTACATGAGAAGCCAGGGATCAAACTGAGGTAGCAACATGCAAGGCAAGGACCTGAGCTCCCCAACTATCTCTTTGGCCCTTCAACTCAATTTTCAAAAGTATTCAGTTAGCCTTTAGCTGATTAGTGTATTTCACTAAACTGGAGTAGGAAAAAAAAAACAGGCATGCATATAAATAAGTCTAATGCACCACATGTGTTAGGAAGGTGCAAGAATTTACAGGCAGCTTACAAATGCAATAGGAATCTCCCTCCATTTTTATATACTAATAAAAGCATCGTAAAGTGAATTTTCTTAAGTAGAAAGTGCACATAATCACCTAAACTACCAAATGTCACAGTTTAGCATAGTCTACCTTAAAGGTGCTCAGGAACTTACTCTTTGTCCCCAGAGAGTTGTGGACCCAGTCAGTAGCATGGTTGACTGGGAATTGTGGGTCACTGGCACTCGCTGTTCAGCACTGTGAGAAATATGGTCCCATGTATTACACATTGCATATTGTAAGTTGGGAACATCTGTACATAAAACCAAGCAACTAATATTAAAATTGGGGGGTGAAGGGGAACGAGTACAAAAGAACAGAGAAATAAATGCAATTGCCATGTGGGATAAATTTGTTGCTTCAGGTGAGCACTAGATTTCAGGCCCCTGGCAGTCAAGGGAAGGGGGAGGGGAGACATTTGGATCTTTGCATTATAAAAGAAAGCTCAACATGTTTAAAAAGTTTCTAATTTTGAATCTAGTTATTATGTAACATCAAATGATCCCTATAGTCCCTCGAAGAGCAGACATTTTATGCTTTCACACAGAGTACTAAGAGAATCTGGGTAAGGGAGAAATCAATTCCAATGGCAACTTAGGTAGCTTCTTGGGGGTCGAGAGAGAAGGTTCCAAGCAGTGCTCAGAAGACCAGGGAATTCTCCCAGCAACCCTCAGCCAATTAGGTCACAGTTCAGTGTATGGGTTTAAGGACACAGTGCTGTTTGGACCTTGTGGTGGTGAAGAGTACCTAGGTCACCAGGAGGTGGCTGAGGACCTTTGGGGTTACACCTGGTCATGCTGGGTGCTAAAGCACTGCCATGGTGTCATGCAAATCCTATACCCCAGATCCTATGCTATCTCTCTCGCCCTAGATACGCTTTTAGGATGAGGCCTCCTAGTGATCTTGGGGAAAAATTCTTACCTTTCCACCTCCCTCCACATGGCCTACAGCCAACCACATATCCATTTTTTGGTTACGTGTTTTTATTTGGGGGCCACACACCGCAATGCTCAGGGATTACTGCTGGCTCTTGCACCAGGAATTGCTCCTGGCAGTGTTCTGGAAACCATATAGGATGACAGGGATCAAACCCAGGTCCACAGAATGCTAGGTAAGTGCCCTACGCACTGTACTATCACTCCCCCACTTTCACTCCCAACCCCGACTCAAGCACACATTCTTACTCCTGGGACTTCTCTAGCCCAAAGCAAAAGGTGTCTCTAAACAGCTGACTCCAGTTTAGGGAGGTTCCCAATGGATCTGCTGGGCTTTTAAGAAACTTTGTAAATTTATCTCTGGTTCTTCAGAGAAATTTTTGTCATGAGGTTATTTGGATTTCTCCCTATAAAGAATATCGAAGAATTTAGAAGGTCAGTCAATGGAAGGGACCATGCAAGAAGTTTCTGAGCTGGTGGAAATATTCATTTAGGGGCTTGTGTGGATATATACATTTGTCAATATTCATTAAATTATATATATTGAGGATCTGTACATTTTACTGGAGGTACAACAGTAGTGTAGCAATGAGGTAGGTTTATATATGTGTCTAACCTACAGAGCCAACAGCATTGCAAGCAGGAGACCCTAACTACAAAAACTAGACTTCAAAATGTGCCTGCCACGGATACAGGCTGTGGATAGGGCAGGAGGAGGCAAGGTTACACTGACAGTGGGATTGGGAGTGGAACGTTGTACACTTGAAACTCTTATAATAAACAACGTTGTGAATCACGTAGCCTTAATAAACACTGCTACTTTTTTTTTTCTTTTTGGGTCACACCTGGCGATGCACAGGGAATCCTGGTGCTGCACTCAGGAATTGCCCCCTGGAAGTGCGCAGGGACCATATGGGATGCAGAGAATAGAACCCAGGTCAGCTGCGTGCAAGGCAAATGCCCTACCTGCTGTGCTATCTCTCCAGCCCCCTACATTTTTTTTTAATTTTTATTAGAGAAACACCATGAGGTATAGTTGTAGACTTACAAATTTTTGTGCTTGGGTTTCAGTTATACAATGGTCAAGTACCCATCCCTCCACCTACATTTTTTTTTAACTGCAGACTTATGTTTTATTTCCTAGGTGCTCCACAGCCTGAGTCAGGACCAGAAAAAGAAGAGGTCAGGTCTTTCTGGAAGTCTCCCCGAAAGCCCTCAGAAAGGCTGAGAAAGTGGATGGTGCATCTCTCAGTGGACCAGGACAGAGACACGTGGCCCCCACCAGGTAGCTGCTCCTTCCCTCCACCATCCCAAAGATCTCTTCCTCCAAAGGAAGCCAGGCAAGACACAGAGGGTCCTCAGGCCCCTAAATTCCCCACCCGCTGCCAGGGCATGGCTCCTTCCCAGCGACTTGCTGATTTTATTCAAGCAGCAACAACCTTAACCATAGTGCTACAATTGGGCATTTACCTTGCACTTGGTCAATCCAGGTTCAATCCCTGACGCTATATATGCCCCTCCCCCACCCCTGGAGGGAGGGACGGAGGAAGGAAGGAAGGAAGGAAGGAAGGAAGGAAGGAAGGAAGGAAGGAAGGAAGGAAGGAGTCGGTCTCTGGGTGAGAGTTTAGAGCTAGTAAGTAGGTTACACCAAGGTTACACACACCCACTGACTTGCTTAGCTCTAAATTATTTCATTTTTATGCCTCTTTTGCAAATCACAACACCCAAAAGGAGAGAGAGAACAAAAGGGAATGCTCTGCCACAGAGGCAGGGTGGGATGGGGGAAATGGGGGTTGTAAGTCTACAACTGTACCTCATGTGTTTCACTAACAAAAATTAAAAAATGAAAAATAAAAATAATAAATAATAAATTATTTCCTTTTTATCAGAAGAATAAATATTTTCATATACATATTTTGTTGCTGAACAATCAGTAAATTTTTTAATTTTATATCATATCTTCTAAGAGCAAGGACAGTCTCCCTCATAACTACAATGATCACAACCAAGGTAGAATATTTTCCAACATATAAAGAGATCTTATTCTAATATCTCTCTAGAACAAACATTCCTAGTAAGTCTTTATTTTCAATCACTGCAGAAAGCAGCTAAGAATCATTTACTATATATCTCCCACTTTTAATTTTCTTTTAGATCCCCAGATTTTATTTATCTTATGATTATCAAGGTAATTTATTTTACAATAGTTAATGTTAATATTAATGTTTATGGGCTGGAGAGATAGCACAGTGGTAGGGCATTTGCCTTGCACCCAGCTGGCCTGGCCAAGCCTGGTTCGATTCCTCCGCCCCTCTCGGAGAGCTTGACAAGCTACCAAGAGTGTCTTGCCCACACAGCAAAGCCTGGCAAGCTACCCTTGACGTATTCAATATGCCAAACACAGTAACAAGTCTAATGATGGAGACGTTACTGGGCCCACTTGAGCAAATCAATGAATAACAGGAGGACTGTGACCATAATTAATGTTTATGGGAGCTAGAGTGATAGCACAGTGGTAGGGCGTTTGCCTTGTGCACAGCCAGCCCGGCCAAGCTGGGTTCGATTCCTCCGCCCCTCTCAGAGAGCCTGGCAAGCTACCAAGAGTATCTCGCCCTCACGGGAAAGCCTGGCAAGTTACCCATGACGTATTCAATATGCCAAACACAGTAACAAGTCTCAAAGTAGAGATGTTACTGGGCCCGCTCGAGCAAATCGATGAACAATGGGAGGACAGTGCTACAGTGCTATTAATGTTTATGCTTCTGGTGCTCAAAGTTACTACACTTCTATCATACAACAGTGCAAAGTCCTTCTACCACTGTCCTGTGTCTCTTCTAGCCCCCCTCACCTCTTCCCCCCACCCCTACCACCCATCTCCCTACAACTTTGTAACCTCAGTAATGCCCTCAGAGTCTGAGATTTTGTTCTCATTGGCTATCACTTTGCTTTGTTTCCCATGGTTACTTCTCTATAATCTCTTCACCTTCCCCAGTACTGGTTTTCCTGATGTTGAGATTTTTCAAAGGCCAGATGCTTTGCAGAATTATGCCCATTTAGATTTGTCTGTTTCTTCACAGTTTAGTAGGAATCTAACATATTTCACAAGAATAGCATAAAGGGGATCTTAGAGCTTTCTCCATGCATCATATCAGAGGACACCAGATATCCCTTTACTTTATTCCACTTGTTCCAATTTGTTCCATCGGTAAGTGGTGTTATCTTAGGTAAAAGATGGTATCTTCTGGATTTCTCTGTTGTAAACATGCCAATTTTTCCTTTTTTAATAACTAAGTAGCCTGTGATATTTTGAGATTTGTGTGTGTGTATTTGTGTGTGTGTGTGTGTGTATGTTGCTTTTAAACAGCAACAGTATTGAACACAAGATAAAAAATACTCTTTGTAAGGTCTCAATCATTTAGATTTCTGGCTTTTCAACCCTTCTTGGAACAATCTCTGCTGGTCTTGAGAACTAGAGACAGAAAACCAAGACAGGACTTGCTGTGTGTGGTGAGCACAGTCCCTTTGCCTGGCTATTATCTGGAAGGTGATACTTTGTACATTATGAGATCAAGAAGCCTATGATCCTGGGCTCTGTTTGGAAAGCTGACTTTGTGGTTGAAACTCCAACCAATAATCCCATAAACTCTAAGACAGGGGTAGCCCCAGTTAAAGTTTTGGAAACTGGAAGGATTTTGCTAAGACCTCATCAACAAGATGAGAAATAAGCACCATGGCTCAATTTCTCCCTGTTATAGGCGATTCCGTAAGGGAAGGGCCACTACTATAGCCAAAGTGGATTCTTCTTTGGCCACTGGGAATACCTGCTTTCTACTCTGTAGCAATGTTGGAAAAGAGCAAGAATAAGAGATCAGAGAAATGGTGACTTGGTGGCCGCCATCCTCCAGAGGCCAGTGGACAGTCAGGTTTGGGCCCACAGTGACAAGATACATGGGACCTCACGGGATGGGGGTGGAGCCAGCCCTTTTCTCCCCACCCCAACAAGACCTCGAGTGGCTGCCCATGAACAGCCTCTCTGGCTCCTGATCAAGCTGCTTAACAGCCATGATCCAAGAGACTCAGAAACAAATCTCGGAACCCAGCAGGTTTTGGCAGAAATCCCTTCAGATTTAATTGTTAAAATTTCGGAATCCCAAAATTGCACGGCCACTACTGTGGCCGTGCAACATCATATGTTATTCATAACCAGCAATAGAAAACAAATTGTCTACTGTTGACTTTTCAGCAGATCTGAGTACTGGGGTAAAATCCCAAATAATAATGGTGTGTCTGGTGTCAAAATACTGAATGTGATCAAAGTAGAGAGAGAGTAATGTGGAAATCATCTTCCCCACAGGTAGGGGGAGGGTGTGGGGTGGGGGGTATACTAGGGTTTTGGTGGTGGAAAATGGGCACTGGTGAAGGGACGGGTGTTTCATTGTATGACTGAGACTTAAACCCAAAAGCTTTGTAACTTCTGTCATGGTGTCACTGTCACTGTCCTCCCGTTGTTCATCGATTTACTCGAGCAGGCCCATAACGTCTCCATCGAGATACTTTGTTGTTACTGTGTTTGGCATATCGAATACGCCACGGGTAGCTTGCCAGGCTTTGCCGTGGGGCCGAGATACTCTCGGTAGCTTGCCAGGCTCTCCGAGAGGGGCGGAGGAATCGAACTCAGGTCGGCCATGTTGGCTGCGTGCAAGGCAAACGCCCTACCGCTGTGCTATCGCTCCAGCCCTCTTTCATGGTGATTCAATAAATAAAATTATAAAAAAGGAGAAAAGAAAAGAGAGAAACCAGAGAGATAGCACAGTGGGTAGGGCACTTGACATGAATGCAGCTGACCCAGATTCAAATCCTGGCATCCCATATAGTCCCCTGAGCCTACCAGGAGTAACTTCTGTGTGCAGTGCTAGGAGTAAGCCCCAAGTGTTGCCAGGTGTGGCCCAAAATAATAATAATAATAATAATAATAAATTTTTTTTAAAAAATGAGAGTGAGAATGAGTGGAACAAACCATTCTGAATATGAGTATTGAGTGAGAAAAAGCATCCTCTCCTGCTCAGCCTCAGTTCTCTCTCTCTCTCAAGCCTTTTCTCATTGTTCCCGTAAAGATCATGATGCCCCCTGAGCCTTCCAACCCTGGTTAAAGGAAGGAAAGGTCTTGAGAACCAGAGGGCCTGGATAGCTCCAGGACATCACTCAAGGATCACAGTAGCCTCTCTGGGCCCCTGATTGTACAACCTCTACCCCCGGGGAAGCACTCCCAGCAAGACAAGGCAATCAACCCTGAATGGGTATCCCTAGATTTGTCTGGAACTCAAGGCTCGTTTTTAAGCTCTCCGCCAGACATCCCATTGAAAGGGGGAAGTTGGTCTGGTTTCCACACACGTCCATGGGATTAGCTCCTAAAGAGACAAAACATAGTTTTCAGGGTTTGTTGCATCAACATGCACGACCCAGCTCTGTGTGCTTCCTCACTGCTAGAAGCAGCATGTTGTGCCATGGCTCTCCCCAAGCTGTTGGGGAGTAATGCACTTGACAGCAGGCCTGCTTACCTTCAAGCCAGAACCTTCAGGGGCCCAAGGAGCCTTGCAACCTTTCCTAACTAGAAGTCTCAGGAGAAACTCTGCCCCCAGCCAGACCTGAGGTCTGTTCCCAGGAAAGGGGGCTTCTGCCCGCAACTGAAGGCTGAGGCAGACCAAGGCCAGGCCTCTGTGACTTCGCGCCACTGAGCGCAGACAGTCTGGACAAGGACGAAGATGCTTCTTCAAGAACAATATGGGGACTTGAGCGATAGCACAGCAGGTAGGGTGTTTGCCTTGCACACAGCCAACCCAGGTTCGATTCCCAGCATCCCATATGGTTCCCTGAGCACTTCCAGGAGTAATTCCTGAGTGCATGAGCCAGGAGTAACCCCTGTGCATGGCTGGATGTGACCCAAAAAAGCTAAAAAAATAAAAATTTTTTTTAAAAAGGAACAGTAGGGCAAACCCAGTGCAACATCAGCTCCCCCGGAGGGCTTGGTCATAAAGTAAAAATTGCTTGAGTCCAAATTCATTCTGAAAATTCCTGGTTGGAATTTCCATGCTGTAAACTTTCCTCTTTTTCTTTTCTATTTTTTTGTTGTTGTTTTCTTTCTTTCTTTTTTTTTTTTTTGTGCGGTGAGGGGGAGTGGGAAAGGAGGGGTGGCAAGGGGAACAGTTTTCTGTTTGTTTTCCACACCCAGCTATGCTCAGGGCTTACACCTGGCTCTGCACTCAGGGACCACCCTGGCAAGGTCACTCCTTGCTGGTGGTGGTACTTGATGGTGCCCTCCAGCCCTTTGAGCATCATTCCACACCCCACCCTGTTGGCTCACATGTCTTCTTAGTGATGGTGCTCACAGGTATGACCTTGAGCACCACTGGGTGTGGCCCCAAAAATGAAAAAAAAAAATGAAACAAAAAGCAGTGGAAACACCATGGCGAGGAAATGTGCCCTCCAGCACATATGTGTGTGAGCACCACAGCACACCCCAGTAGGCACCACAGCCTCAGCGCAGTGTGTAAAGTGCAGATCTAAAGGAACTCAAACCTTCGTGAGTGCCACAGCGAAGTGTGTGGGCAACACAACCTAATGTAAGACTCCCCAGCAAGCACCCCAGCCAGCTCAGTCACTGCAACAACATCCACAACAGAGGGAATGTGGGAGGGATACAAATAAAGTTAAATAAAAAATGCAGAGATAGTATAGTGAGTAGGGCGTTGCCTTGCATGTGGCCAACCTGGATCCCCCAATTCCCAGCACTACCAGGAGTGACCACTGAGCACCACTGGGTGTGATCCCCCAAAAAAGAGGGTGTTGGGGAGCTTATGTGGGGCTTAGGGCACATGCAAGGACCTCCAGTTCAATTCCCAGTACCACATGGCCCCACACCTCTCCCAGTCCCCAGCACCACTGGGTGTGGCTTTGAGGACCCGAGCATGACCAGGATAATCTCCAGAATCACAGGCACAAGCAGCATCATATCCTCAGGCCTGCGCCGCGTTGAACTGCCGGCCTGATTGGCAGAGAATTGCCAAGTGCCCCCACTTCATCCCTAGGGCATCATTTAGGAGGCTCCCCAAGAAGAGAAAATTTTTAAACCCATTTTCAAGAAAGTGTAGTGCTAGCAGTATCTCCTCCATCCTCGGAGTGCTGGGTGCCTTCTCCATGGAGCACTGGGTGAAGGGAGAGCTTGATGGGGCTCAGACTCTTCTCTGAAGGAAACATCAGTAAGAGGAGAAGCCTCTAGTGCTATGAAGAGGGACACACCTTGCATTTCAGTTCCTGTTTTCCCTCCCTTGGGGGATGGATGCTCCCCTTTTTCAATCCATCATCTCCCAGCCTCCTCCTAAGCCCCCAGCAAGAACAGCAGCTCCTTACTTCATGTCATCAGTGAATGCTTGGATAACAAGGAATAATAAAAAGAGGACCTCAGATTATGTGCTCTCAGTTAAAGCAGGCGGGGATCATTTTCTTCCCACCAATGTTATAATGAAATAATGTTAAGCAAGATGGCACTATTCAAGGACCTGGTCTCTAGCTCAAGTCTTGTAAGCACAAATTCAGTATATACCTGTACAATTAAGCATATAGCTTTATTGTGTGTTCGCAGCTTCTCTGTTTAAGACTAAAATGGCCACGCTAGAATACCAAATTTTCTCCCTCTCTCTCTCTCTCCTTTTCTCTCTCTCCTTCTCCTTTTCTCTCTCCCTTCTCTCCTATCTCCCCCACTATTAGTCCCCCACCAGTGACCTTTTCATTTATGCACCATTTCAGTAACAGAAATGTCTCGAATGACTCCACTCTGGTTTATATCTGAGTGGCAGATCCGTTCTCTAAATTGGATGAAAATTAGCCAAACTTTATGTACAGTGTTTTTAGCACCAAGGACACTCTTAGGAGGTTGCGATAATCCAGTACAACTTGTGCCATACACATACACACACACACACACACACACACACACACACACACACACACACACACCCCATCACCACCACCACACCACGCCGATCCTCATAAAGGGAAAATCGTGGGATTAGAATGAATGCCAGGGCTGTGACTATGACAGGGTTATAGCCTGAAGCCTCAAATGTGTGCACACATGCACGTGTGTGTGAGGATTACTTGTGCTCATACATCTGTGTGTGCTTGTAGCATGTGCACACCTCTGGGTACATGTATGTGTTTGTCACATACGTTCAGCCCTGAGTTCATTTGTGTGCTTAGGCATGCAGTTTGCATGCCTTCCAGCAAAGGCACTTGGGTTATAAGTCATCCTTTACAAGTGGCACGTATGTATACATGCACAATTCGTGGTGTGTATGGCTGTGTTTGCATACATGTTCATCCATGTGTGTGCCACCTGCATACATGTGTGTACATTTGTCTGTGAACATCTGTCTTTTCATGTTTGCATTGTCTTGCCTATGTGGATGTGTGCATTTCTGTGCTCATAAGCACCTGCATGACTGGTGGCCTGATCCCTTTGCCCTGCCAAATAGGAAGGCAAATTTCAAAAAACACCCTCAGTCTCTCTAAACAACTGAGAGAAATGCAGCTTCATCATCTTCCTTGGCCCAAGTCTCTGGGGTTGCTAAGTGGCCCTGGCTTTGGGTAGGGCCATTCACACAGTACATTGGCACCAGGCATGTGACAGAGAGGGACAATGCTGCCATAAGCACCAGCGTTTTACCCAGGGACTTGGAGGCACACACTGGAGGAAGAGGCTCCCTTTCCTGAAGACAGACACCCATTACCAGCCTGGAGCAATCTTTGCCTCTGCAGGCTGCTGAGGCCCAGAATGACTAACTTTTCACTCTCTTCGGGGCTGGATATAGGCCAGTGTAACCCCAACCCCACCCCCATTCATCCCACCTTAATGTCCAGGGCCAGAATAATGGCACCGTTTGGGCTACTCCAGTCCTCTGATAAGCATCCAAATACTCAGATCTCTGACTATGGGCCAGGGATGTGGGGGGCAGTGGGTAGGTGATCATAATCAGGCCAGGCCTCCCTACCCAGCACTGGCACTAACACTGCCCATGCTTGTGCTTATTTTCAAGAAAAATCCAGAGACCCCACACAGGAGAACTTCTTGCTGGGTCCAGATGAGGAAAAGGTCTTCCTGGGGCCTCCCCAGCCCTTGGAGCGTCTGTCCAGTGAAGGTAAGACTCCCCTCACCCTACCAGGTCAGCCTTGTTCTCATAGGAGACACTTTAACCAAAGCTTTCAAATATCCCCAGCAGCAGAGACATCATTAAAAACAGAGGCCAGCCAGCCAGTGCCTCCGTCCCCGACACAGAGGTGCTTCTATAGTGCAGACACAATAGCCCAATGTTTGTTCAACAAGTCGACACTTGCTGAGCTTCTGAAGAGAGATGTTCTCGTGGAAGAGTTGGAAGAGGTCTGCTGTGCTCTGTTGGTGCCTTGATGAGAATGATAAAGCCTTTCTGGTATTTGCCCAAACTAAACAACCGCCTTCTCTTTTCTTCCAACCACCCTTCCAAGGTGAAAGCAGCTAATTGGTAATCCAATCAGGCATCCTTGTTTAGTGTGTTGGTTCAGGCCTGTGAATCACCTGGCTTCTGACAGCTAGCAAGGCAGTTTCCAAAACCCTTCTGGCATGTTAACTTTTTTGGACCAGAGATGCTGGCTCTGGGAAATAGCCATTTTGCAAGGGGAGGAAAGAAATGAAGTCAGAGGGTAATGAGTGTCAACCACCCTGGAACCCCCAGGATGTGTGTACAAGAGGTGTAACAGCCAGCAGACCTCAGGAGAAGAGAGGTGAACTCTGTGCTCACTTAGTGCGTTGTGTTTCTACTGACCCAATAAGGAGAGCCAGGAGATTGCAGGAGCTCTGATTTGCCCTTTTGTCAAATGACTTTGTGTGGGTCCTTCCTACAGGCCTTGTGTCCAAGCTTCCTCATCCCCTTGGAAATGTGTATCTCTCACCTCCCCATCAACTGGGAAGTTCAATGACTAGTGCTGCACTGCGCTTCCTGTGCCTGTTGCTATTAATGTGGCTCGCCTAACACATTGGCTTCCAGAAACTTAGGACGCATTTGTTTCCAAATTTGGCAGTAAAAATCTCCCACCACCACTGGGGTTATACCATGATATGGGTACAAATATAACTTGACTCTGCGTGGCGGAAGCAGATGGAGAGCCCGTCCGTGGGGCACAGCTGGTACAACAGCTGGAGAGCAAATGTGATTCTGTTCACCTGCTACACATTTGTCCACTCAGTTCCAGGAGAAATCACTCCCCTCTTGACACAGCAAAAGCTTGAAGGAGAAAAGGAAATATTTAAGGCTTTAATTAGGGGTGGGGAGGGCAAAAAGAGCTAGGTTGTTTTTGTTTTCTACATCCAGCTGCTCTCAGAGCTTACTCCTCTCTCTGTGCTCAGAGGTTACTTCTGAAAGTACTTGGGGGACCATATGCAATGCCAGGAATTGAACTGGAATTGGCCATGTGCAAGGCAAGTAGCTAACCCCTGTACTATCTCTCTGGTCTCTTAAGGCTTATAGTTTGTTATCAACACAACACTGACCTCCTGTTGTTCATCGATTTGCTCGAGCGGGCCCAGTAACATCTCCATTTTGAGATTTGTTGTTACTGTGTTTGGCATATTGAATACGTCACGGGTAGCTTTCCCGGCTTTGCCGTGCAGGCGAGATACTCCCGGTACTTGCCGGGCTTTCCAAGAGGGGCGGAGGAATCGAACCCGGCTCAGCTGGGCTGGCTGCGCGCAAGGCAAATGCCCTACCACTGTGCTATTGCTCCAGCCCAGTTTGTTATCATACTATTGAAATGATTTTTGGTCACATCAATTTCCCTAACATATGGCGCAGTTCCTGACACATGAGCCTTTGAACCACAATAATTGTTCATTTAACAAAATCTTACAATCAGAGAAAAAAAAATCTTACAATCAGTTCCACCACCAGCATGACCTTCCCTCCTCCAGTATCCCCATATTCCCTCCCACCCTTCAGCCTGCCCCATTGGCAGATGCATAACAAATTTATTTTATATTATTTGCTCCAACAAAACTTTAAAAATTGACAAATGGAATTATCAAATAATAAATCAATAAGACAAATTTGTGGTGATTGATTGCTATATGGTTTTAAACTATGTAAAAAAATTAAAATCATATGAAAAAAAATCTTTTAAGCCAGAGAGGTAACTTAAAAGGCTGGAATATAGGGTTTGTACTTAGAAGTCCTGAGTTCAATCCCCAACACCACATGGATTCCCAGCACCATTAACTATGTTGGGAACAGCCTTTCCCCCAAAAAAGTAATAGCTTCTGTAAGATAAAAAGAGATAAATGAATAAATGGAGATTTGCTTTCATCTTTTCAGGGATATGAACAATATATTTAATCCAACTTGCCTCTCAAACCTAAAGGCATGCACGGTGAGCTTGAAATAAATGAATGACTGAAACAGGCAATTAATTGATCACTGGCCTCTCTCTAGTCTTTCCCCCATTGCAATTGTGTGAAGGAGGGAGGAACACCCATGATGTTCAGGGGTTACTCTCTGTGCCCCGAGGTGCACCCTATAGAGCTTGGAATACCATATGTGGTGCCAAGGATCAAGACAGATTCACCAAATGCAAGGAAAGAGTCTTAACCCCTTGTACTATCTCTCCAGCCCAGAACTTCAGTATTGATGGTAATTGGCTGGCCCCTAAAATGAGGAGCAGAACCATAAACCCACAACTCTCAACAATGGACCAAGATTAGGTCTAGCTTTCAAAAAGCCTCTATTCATGGAAAAGGTCTGTTGTTGGAATTGAGGTCTAGATGGGTATTTGAGAATCTGTATATAAAACAATTTTTCGGGACTGGAGCGATAGTGCAGTGGGTAGGATGTTTGCCTTGCACGCAACTGACCCAGGTTCAATTCCCAGCATCCCATATGGTCCCCTGAGTACTGCCAGGAGTGATTCCTGAGTACATGAGCCAGGAGTAACCCCTGTGCATTGCCGGGTGTGACCCAAAAAGCAAAAACAAACAAACAAACAAACAAAAAAAACAATTTTTCAAATCTTGCAAAGAATTTTCTCCAACCAAACCAAATTCTTTGCAGCTCAGTTTGTTCGAATCCATTTTGACCCATATATCCACCCTACTTTTCAGGTCTTCTCTCCTAGAGAATCAGGCCCACCTCTCTCTCATATTTCTGATGGCCCAGATATTCAGTTTTCCTTCTCTTATCTCCTAGTCTTTGCCTAGTTGCCCCCTGACTACCTTTGGGTTCCAGACAAAGACTTCTCTTTCACAGTACATTTTCCTTTATAAATCCACCTCATTTCATGCAACTGCCTGGATATAGTCTCAGTCATTTCTCCCTCTTAATCTCACTTTTGTGATTATTGTGTTTATCTGAATCTATTTTCTGCTTTGCTCCCAAATATGTTACATGAAACCCTTATCTCTACAATATATCCAAGAAATGTTTGTAATTGACTGAAACCCCAGATGCTACAAAGGAAAGTTCTTTGGGGATCATAGTTGTTGTTTTTTTAGCTGAAAAAAAATCTTGGTCAAGGAAGGAATATGATCTGTCTGATCTCTCTAAGACTCTCAGCCTCTGTCAACATCTATTTGGAAATAAATTCTTAAGCAATTAGATCATGATATCTTGCTTTCAGACTGCATTGAGAAATGACTGTAAACCTTCAGAAGGAAAAGGAAAAAAAAAAAGATATAAAGACCAGAGCTGGAATTTGACCCTCTTGGTCATGTGAGGATATTGCAACACTCAGAAGTTAAAGGCTTCGGAAAGGAAAGGAAAGTTAAGTTGGAAGGATCCAAGTGAAAACATTGGATGTGCTCTCTGGATTGCTAGTCCTTGATTCAAATCTGTTTCCTATTTTCCAAGTTATGGGGCAGCAATCAAAGTTTGATTTTAGAAGGTCTTGAGGGGTTTATAAGAGACATGCCAGTAGTGCTGAGAGATGAGGGGCCCTGGGCCACCTCTAAGGATGCTCAGCCTAGAAGTGTGGCCTGATAGGTCCTTGATCAGAGACTAGTGGTACTTGAGGACTACGAGAGCCAGTGCTGGGGATCACACTCAGTCCCATCATATGCTAAGCATGTCCTCTGCCACTTGAACTATCTGCCTGGCCCTAGAAGAAACTTTTTGTTCAGAAGTTTTTTTGTTCATTTATATTTGTGTGGCGGGGGGCAGGGGGGTGTTGATGCACCTGGTAGTGCTTCAAGGCTACTCCAAGTCCTAAGCTCTGGGATCACTCTTGGCAGTTCTCAGGGGAGTATTTGTGCCAATGATTTAGACTGGGATGAATCAGGTTCCGTGTCAATTTGAATTATTGACCTCTTACAGTCTCCAGTTACCTTGTTTTCATCCAAAGTGAATCTTTACCCCCCCCCAAAATGATTTTTTTTTGGCCACATAATTGAGCATTTCTTTTGCATCTCCCCCTTGGCATGGTTGTCTTAAAATATGTCCACAAATTTTTTTTACATGTTCCTTTAGTGTGGTCTAGACATAGTGATTTACTTCTAATGAACATAGAATGTGACCAAAGTAATGGTAGGTACATTCTGGGACTGGGTCACAAAAGGTGCTATGTCTTCAGTTTGCTGTCTCTCTCTTGGGTTAGTTGCTCTGGGTACCACCAAACACTGGGTCTTATGGAGCAAGACCATACAAGGGACTAAATGAACCTTAAATGTTTGTAAATGAGTCATCTTTAAAGGAGACGGTCCTTCTACTTTGGGGGCCATGGTTTGGGATTTGGGGTGAAACATTCAAATATGGTGGTGGGAAGGTGCAACAGTGTTGGTATTGGTATTCAAATATTAAATGTAATGAATTATTGTGAACAACTTTATAAAAGTAAAATGAAATATAGCACAGCGGGTAGGGCGTTCGCCTTACAAGTGGCCAACATGGCCGACCCAAGTTCGATTCCTCCGCCCCTCTTGGAGAGCCCGGCAAGCTACCGAGAGTATTCGATATGCCAAACACAGTAACAAAAAATAAATAAATAAAATAAAAATAAAAGGCATGGTCCAGCTCCTGTAAGACAGCCTTACTGACTGACGCTGTGCCCACAGCTCCCTAGAAGCCTTCCAGGCTCACACTTCAGTCACCCCAGATTCCTGCAGCAACCATGGGTGCTATAATAA